CTGCTCGATATACTTGTCACATTCACGTCGCGCGAAACGTCGTTTTCCCGCGTCTCTCTCCTCTCGCGAAGATCGTAAGCGCGAAAAGAGTATCTTGTTGTCCTTAAAACGTACTTCGTGTATGTCTCTGTGTCTATGTCTGTGTGTGAATGTGTATACCCAGTCGCTTCTCATCGTGTAGCACACGCGAGTGTGTGTGCATATAATCGTGTATTTGCGGCCCGAGTACGGTACCTCTTACTACTTTTTTTTCCGCTTTCGCGTTTATTACTCTTTTTTTTCCTCTTTATTTCTCGAGATTAAGAAAATGGCAGTTATCGGTCACAGCCAATGGCTATATTTATAATCATTAAAGTTTAATATTTTACAATTATTAAAATCTTATGTCACACGCGACACCTCTTATCAGTTAAGCTATTCGTTATAGAACGCCTCTAAAACTAGATGCGCCCACGTCTCTTTTTCTTCTTTTTTTTTATTTACCATTATTATCGCTATGTCCGCGTTTCGACAGCATCGTACGCGAATATTCCCTCCTCCCCCGCGATGAGCGAAGCACGGGTGCACGAGTGAACGTACGTGAATACGCGAGAAGAGGAATAAATGCTCAAAGAAGCGAGAGCGATGTCAGGAATTCTCTTTTTTTTTTTTGCTATCAACGTTTGATAGCCGCGAAATAGTCACAGCGATTTCCCCGACTCGCGTCTCGTTATCATTGACGATTTAGTTAAACTACCGCCCGTTTTATATTATCACTTATAGGCGCGCGCGTGCGCGGTCAGCTTTTGATTTACGTATGGCACTCTGTTTAAAAATTACGCGAATTACGTCCGCACCCTCGTTACCCCGCGTTTGCGGCGTTGCGTCGACGAGCGAACGGCGACGAAGCGACAATCGTGGACGCCTCTGCGTCTTCGCGGCGATTATTCTCGCGGGAGCTCAACGCGGGAGGATCGCGCGCGGTTCTCCGAGTCGATCGAAATTCGAGACGTTGGATCGCGACGACGTTTAAGTGTCCGAGTATCGGTTCAAGTTTCGGGAAAGAGACGCGGTACATGTACGCGAGCACGTGTACGTAGCTGACGATCGTGAGGCAACGATGATAACACAACCGACGACCCCCGTGGTGTGTGTCGGAACCTCGGCCAAAGTAAAGACTATAATATACCTAAATGCTCGTATCCCTGTGCGCGTGTGTATGTGTATTTTTCTTCCTTGGTTCAACGTATTAATTACAGCAGGATTGTCCCAAAGTCTAGCGGAGGTTCTCGACGAGCTCTCTTTCGTCCTGCAAGATATCTATCCCCTCCCGCCATCCTCTCCCCCGTCGACGGCCACGTGGATTGCCAAACGTTTTAATCCGAAATCCTTTTCCTCCCGTCGTTACCACTCGAGAGTGCACTCTCGAGAATTGCCGAAACACGGTTCGAAAGAGGACCGACCGTAAGGAAGACTGAGTAACGACGCGAATTCCCTCGAAGAATTTCAGCTCCCCTCTCGACGCGCGATAAAAATCAAACGGGAACTTCGATACCGAAAGGGACGCCAATCAAATTGCACGTGCTGATTTTCATGACGCACGCATTCCGTTCAATTTTTTTCCCCACATCCTCCGTTTTCTTCTATAAAAGCACCACTTAATAACACGAATGATTAGAGGCTAAAACTTCGCGCGACCTACTACATTTCCCTATCGGAACTTCGAAACGCCTCTCGATATCACGTCTCGAATATTTCCGACTCCCGAACTCCGCCATCGGTCAGTATCCGACGTACGATCGTAAAAAAGAAAAAAAAAGGAGGAAAAATGTCGAAACTTGATCCGTCTTCCGCATCCCCTCTCTCCAGCTCCCCGCCCACACACGCGCCGTTCTTCCGTTCGAGTTTGGCGTCACGTTCCGAGTTCTGGCAACCACCCTACACCCTATACCCTAACACCCCTCTTCTCGCTCTCTTCCGTTTAACCTACTATCATTTCCTTCGCTATACCCTCTACTTTTAAACTCCAAGCTTCTTTTCGTCCTTCCGTTTCCAGAAGTTCTCACGCTTCTCTCTCTATTTCTCTCTTGCGCATGTGTTTCTCTCTGCGCGCGTATAGAGAACGTACTTTTCGCCATGGAATAATAAGTAATACCGGCGTCTCGTTTCTCTCTCTCTCTCTCTTCCTTTCTCACAATCGCTAATTTAAATATATATTATTGTAATATCTTTCTCTCTCCTATACATCCAGTGATCCAATCGAAATGTATAAACGCACGCATATGTATACGTGGAATATGATGAGATTTCCTCCCCCGCTCTGTCTCTCGCTTTCCTAGAGTGACTTTCCGCTTTAAAAAAAAACTCGTTCTTTTTTTTTCAATTAGCGCTTGTTCGTCTCTCCCTTCTTCGCCCCGGGTTTTATCGCCCTCTCTCCTTCTTTCGTCACCTTCCAAATCTCGCATACGCGCGCGTCCCGCGAGATTCGAAACGGATTCTCAGACTTATTACAGCAAAAGTTAATTAAGAGATTATCTGACACGTTCTACATTATATACGCACGTGTTATGCCAGCCGCCTGCCATTTTTCGCGCTCGCGGTTGCGCGACGTTTTTCGGAACGTAGATGCTAAAGAGAATACCTATAAATATATTTTATATTATGTGTGTATATATATATAATATAATAATATAATTTATATATATGTATATATATATATATATATATTGTGTGTGTGAATGCGTGTATGCCACATCACCATACCTTTTTTACCACATCTTTTTTTTTCTTTATACTTAACATAGAAAAAATATAGAATTTATTTTACCTCGAACTTAAATATAAAATAAACTTCTTTCTCTCTTTACTTCTCGATTATTATAATATATAAATATACGTTTCTGTTATGCATCAACGTGTTATTGGTGCATGTGTGTTTTTCATGTGTTACGCATGGGTATGCAGGTGTGTATATGTATGTGTATGTGTGTGTGTTCATTCTGTGTCCGTGAAGTGTTTGTTTGTGACGTTATTACAAGTAACAAATAATAATATACAAATATCGTTCGCGCATGTCTTTCGCGCACCCCCCGGAGCTCGTGCGTACGCGAATTTATTTTTAGCGTGCGTTTTAGCGCGTGCGGAGTGAGTGCGTGAGTGGAGTGTGCGATTCTTCGTTCGTGTGTCACACGTGCGTGACAGTACCTGTATGTGTGTGTGTATTATATATTGTATATGTGTATAAGGAGTCCACCGAACGAAGATTCGCGCGGTATATGCAGGAAATGTAAAAAGGAACTTGGAGTAGAGAAACACGAAATGAAGCGGCACACAGTGAAGAACAGATATACATCTTCGCGCGACGAAAATTAAAGAATAAAAAAAAATAAACAAAAAGGTCGAGTCTCTTGTGTTCGGAAAAATCGAAAAAATATTCTCTTTTCATCTTCCAACGTCCATCACGAGATGGGCGATTTAAATATATATAATATATATATTTATATATATGTAATATGTATTATATATCTCGACTTATTCGGAGCTGCGACTTGAGCATATATTCGTTTAAAAAATGGCAACGATTGACAAGAATTTTTGATAAAAAAATAGAAATGCAGACGAGACGAAGGAAACTTTGGGGAAGGGAGAACGGGGAGAGAGAGGAGAAGGCGGAGAAATCGAGGGGACGATGACGAGGGGGCTTAAGAACAAAAAAAAAAAGATGAGAGTGAAACGTGGAGTAAACTCGATGTCGAAGCGAGGGAAAAAAAACGGAAATGCGCGGAACTGTACACCTCCCGCAATTAACGTTCAAGCTATCGCCGCGTTTGCTGTTGGATTAAAAATTCGGAGTATCGTCTCTCCGTCTTGTCACGCGCGTTAGGGCCCCATTCGTGAAACCCCCCGGTTTGATTAGCTTCTTTCCCCTCTTTCGTCTTTTCTTCGAAACGAGATTATATATGCAGAAACACGGGTCATATGGACACGTACCGAGAGCTCCCTCTCATGGATACGAAGGACGAACGTCGCGATTTTGCACCCTCGCGTATCTAATGGCGGCCCTTAAAAGATCGTCCTAGCGAAAGCACGAGGCTCGTCCAACGAGAACGGAGGAGACAGGACGATGTCATAGCTCCTAGCGTCCAGCTCTGAAAGTAACGAGAGACGTTTCCGCACTCGTCCTTCCTCCCAGCGATCTCGGAGAGGAAGCGGTACAGTGACGCATTGTATATGTATATAGAATAATATGGACGTATATGCGGATGCACAATCCGACATACATCCATGCGATATACATACATATATATATATTTATATTTATATTAATGCAAGATATTATAGCGATAATATATGATTATGTCTTTCCAAACGAAGAAAAAAAATTAAAAAAAAAAAGAGATACTACTACGTATGCATCGTCGATCCCTAACGTGAAACGAGTATCGTTTAGCGTCGAGTTTAAGCGATCCGCTCGATTATCACGAGTTGAAAAATACAACTCGCTAGAGCTGCCGGCGCCATCGACCGACCCCGTTTTTTGCGCTCGTTCTTCCTGCCCGAGAGCGGACGCGCGGCCCCTCGACTTACGCGTTGCGTTCTATTCTCTCCCTCTTTTTTTTTATCCGCATAATTTTCTGCAATTTTCCATTTTCTCTACTCATCGTGCAACATATTCCTAGATAATATGTCAATAATTCTCTCTTCCTCTCTCTCCCTCTCTCTACGGCGTTACGGCCCAAGACCACCCGTCGTCCCATCGGCGAAATGCGCGAAAAATACAAAATCTAGATCTCGTCGACAAAATATCATTCGCCGCCTATGTTTTTCTTTCTCCCTCCCCCTTCCTCTCTTTTTCTCTCTCTCTCTCTCTCCCTCTCATCCACACATTCCATTTTCTCTCGCTTTCGTACCACTGTCAGACTTTCTGACGACATGTGTATATATATTTACATATACATATATATGTAAATATATATATAAATATATTATATGTTTATATTTATAATATATTAGAGCTATTATTTTTTTTCATTACTATTTCGCTTATATAAAGAGATATCATTTTAAGATAATACTCTAATGGCGAGGGAAGCCGGGTGGAACGAACGCGCCGTCCGCTATATATTCACTACGTGATTTCGTGGCGAATCGAGGGGCCCGTGACCCTCTCTTCTTTTCCCTCTCTTTTTCACGTGTAGGATGTCTGTGCGAGATCATCTATCAGTGTGTCCAGTGTGTATGTGGCATGTATATGCGTATGTGTACGTGTGTATGTTGTGTACGTGTATTTCTGTGTCTGCGACTCATGTACTCGTGTAGATAATTCTCGGTAATCTTCGCTGTCGCACTAGCGACCGCAGCTCGCAGGTTCGTCGAGTTCGTAATTGTACACTCGGCAACGGAAAACCCCTTTCTGGATCGATGAACTTAACACTTTCTACGCGCGTTCTACGAGCGAACGCTGAGATCAAAACTACAATTGTACGCTTGTTTTTTTCTTTTCTAAAAAAAAAAAATAAGAAAAATACGTGAGGCTTTTGCGAGAATCGCAAGGTTGTCCAGTGCGCAATTATCGTTGCGAAATTATCGAGAAAATCTTTTCTTTTGTCTAGCCCTTTTGGCACAAAAATCAAGCATCGCAGGTTAGACAAATAAAAAACGTTAGATACGTATCTTCTCCTTGGTTCATCACCGATTAAAACGATTGACAGTCGAAGATACGAATGTAAGCATGCTTTGATCGAATATGACGTATGAAGCTTAGAAGCAGTCAAAATATCGAAAGTTATCTCTTTGGACATGATTTGAACGTGATTTATCATTCAGTCATATTATTAAAAAAATATATATATATACGAAAGGAAAATCGACAAAGCTCTAAGATCCATTCATGCTAAAACAAGCCGCCTCCGTTCCCAGCAAAACGTTCGACCCAAAGAAAGATCTCAGGAACGAGCAGAGAGTTTTAAAAAGTAGCAAAAACACCGGCGGTGTATTGAGTGTAGTCAAAAAGTTCGGCGATGAGGCTTATTGGTCCGCAACTTGATCGATTCACTTCGGACCCGTAGCCTCCGGTGGAAAGAAAAGAGAGTAGCGTCTCGGTAATCATCAGTCTCGCTACTAGTAATATCAGTCGCAAAGTATTGCAACGTCGATTTTTTGCGGGCAATAGAGAGGCTTTTTTTTTACTCGCATGTTAGTCCGGACGGTACGGGTGGGAGTTACTCGTTTGGTGCCCACGTACCGTCTCTCTCTCATACCTCCAGACTTATTAGAGTACTCGACGAGCCGCGAGCCCAATCTATGCAAGCGTCAAGGGATGAGGAAGGGGACGCGGGGTGGGGAGGGATGGAGTATAGGGTAAAGGGAAACGATGGCGATGGGTGAGTTTTGTGTTTCCACATCCCTATCTCTGTCTCTTTAAATATATATCTCGTAGAACTTAAAAGCTGGCTTCGTTGTATCCGGTCAGCGGGAACTCGACGGACTCGACGATCGGCCACGAACGGGTCGATAACGTCGAGGCGAATCCCCGTCGCGTTTAAAAGAGATTATTGGCAGCCGTGGAATTGAGACTTTGTGCGCGTTCGGTCCCCTGACGACGACGACGATGACGACGACGGCGTCACACCGGCCTGGTAGGATGATGATGCTGATGACGACGACGATGGCAACAACGACGACAGCGATGACAGCGAAGAAAAAAGGCCAACTTTGAGGACTGCCAGGAGGATTATCGCGCAAGCATCGTCGTTGTCGCGAGCGCCAAACGTTGTTCTCCAACTGTTGTCGTCATGCTTGCTGGAACAGTTATTAGCCGGCCGTGCTCGTGCAGAGCGGTAGAAGGTAAAATTGCTGGTGCAACCGCTGCGCTGGGTGTCGCGACACGGGAGACTGACGGGCGGCGACTCGGCGGAGCCCCTCTTTAGGAGAAGATACGGAGCACCTGCAGGACGCGTCTGGAGCATACCGGGCAGCTTGGATCCTTGGTCTCGCAGACCCGATTGCCGCAATCCATGCAGAAGAGATTGTGTCCGCAGGGTACCAACGCCGCGTTGACTTCCTTGTCGCCGCATACGACGCAATCCCGCCGTATGCCGCCCAGAAGCGAGTCCGTGGGCGACGCGGGGCTCGCCGTCGCCGGTGGCGACGGCCTCGAGGGTAGCGCGACGCTCGGGAACGACCAGATTGACGATGTCGAGGTCGGCTGTGACTCGAACGACGGCGACTCGCCGATTCCCTCGTCCCTCTCCAGCGCGCCGTTCCAAATGTTGGCGACGAGGTCGTTCATCCCCATGCCACCGGTGCTGCTGGACGAGCTGCTGCAGCTGCCACTGCTCGAGAAAGCTCCATTAGAGCTGCTGGAGCTGTTAGATCCCGGTTGATCGATACCTTGAATACCGAGAACCGAGCCAAGACCGCCGCGGCAGAGTGCGCCCAGCAGCTCGGCGGTTTCATCGACGCCGGGTGCAGTGCCGGTACGCAGGGTGATGTGGGCCTGTATCTCGCGCCTAGCCGCTTCGACGCTCTCCGGTAGTCCCGTCACCTCGAATACGGGCTCCTTGTCGCGGCTTGGCGTCACGATGTAGGTATGCGTCTGATGCTGAATTCGCTTGATCGTCGCCCCCTTAGGGCCCACAACCAGACCCACTACTCTGTAGGGCACTCGTACCTGAATCGTTATGTGACCGGGCACCGACGCGGGTGGCCCGGGCGGCGCGCCCAGGAGAGCGCCCAACGAGCTCTTGCGCGACGCGCGAATCTGCGAGAAGTGTTCCGCGGCGGAAAGAATCTCACGCTTCGCACGGGCCACGTCCTCCTTGCGACCGGTGACGACGAAGACGGGTTCTTCACCGCGCACTGGTGTCTTGATATAGGTGTTCGTCTTTGCACGGAGGGCTTTGATCTTGCAGCCTGCAATCAAACCAAGAAACACACTCGTTAATTCACTCGTTCCTCACCGTCGATTCTGCGCGCTCGAAGATTATTAAATATTTAACAGAGACTATTCGTCTACGCTCTTTTCTATTTTTAAACGTAATTGAATGAACGTTTAAGAAAATATCAATGTGTATTGTGGCGTAATGAGAGAAAACTGATTACAGTTATTATGCTACTGTGCATCCCCTCGGGTAGGGCTGGCGAGTCTTTTTTATTTCTCGTATTTCGTGCCGGGGCACGAAGCGACCTACACGCGCGTAATAAGCCTTCAAAAGTAGCAGCGCGTCCGTGATGCAATTGTTTGCGTATAGAGGGGTATAGCGCGAAAGGAAAGAGCGGAGACGAGGAGAAAAGGAGAGGACTCGACGCCGAGTAGGCACGCCGCGCGCGAGGCGAGAGAGCGGCGCGGCGCGGTGAGAGAGCAGGGTGCAGGAAACTGGAAGGAAGGAGGTCCCGACCCGGTCTGGTCCTCGGTCTCGCAGACTCTTTGGCCTTGAGCCAGCGCAATGCTAGCAATGCAGGTGAACCACTCCTCCCCTCCTTCCTTCCATCGCGCGCTCCTGGCTCCTCACCGTCGTTTCCTTCTCGCGCTCATCCTGGGAACCTTCCGTTTCTCTTTCTCCGTCTCCGTCCTTCTCGGTCTCGCTCTATCCTCCCCTCTCCCTCCCCCTCCCCCTCTCGGGCCTCCCTTTCATTCAGTTCACTCTCTCCTTCGTCGCGATGGAAGGAGAGAAGGCGACGTACGTATGTTGCATCGCATACCACGCAGCTTTTTCATCTCTCTCTCTTTCTCTCTTTCTCTTTCGATCAGCGCCATTATACGATCGTCTCTTTCTCTATTTCCCCCACCCCTCATCATTCTCTCGTAAATCAAATTTTGCGTTTTCCAACGCGCGCCATGCGTCGTAAGAAAGCGAAACGCGACAACGCCAGAATTCAGGGCAAAAGAGCGTGAGGACGAGAGCAAGGCCGCGAATATAAATTCTCCGTGGAATTACTTTGTCCACGTGCGCGCGGATAGAATGCGCTTGGAAACTCGCCTCCCGGCTAGGCGAAGGGCGTCCCAGGCGCCTAGCGATATCTTTGCGTAAGCGCGACATGCATGCACGACGGCAATGTCACGGACGGTGTTTCCGTTTCTTCAGGGCCGCCGTGCGGCGCGGACGCGTAATGTCGATACGGAACGAAAACGCGACGTACGTGGCGGCGGACGATTGGCGACACGCGCACGGCAAAGGAATTGACTGACTTGTCAGAGAGCACGAGAATGCCCGCGAGGTTGTCTCGAGGGCGTGAATGCTATTAGAGCCGCAATTCCGTTTGCGTCGCAGCATATTACGCGAGATGCTGCAAGAACTCGTATACCATTTGTGCGTATATTAAAAATGACTATTAAACATATTTTTTTATATTAGAAAAATAAATATCAATTTTTTTATTTTCCTCTTCAATGTTAACTTTAATTTTCAAGATGATTTGGAAACATTTCAGGTTTCGGAATGATTCCCTATGTATTTCTATAGATACAAAGGACAAGTAGAAAATCTTCGAAAAGGACTTTGCTCGCGTGCAACTCGAACCGCGTGTTCGCAAGCCGAGTTTCCGCTTCTCGAAGGTTCTCTCTCCCTTATTCCGGAAATTCGCCTAGAGCGATCCGGAGCGGTTTCAGTTCGGCTAAATAACTCCGCGTCGACGTAGAGGCAGGTGGACGAGGTGGATCGGAGAATACCTGGGCGCGAGCGCGAGCGAGCGCGCTCGCGCGCGCGTGCGTGCGTGCGTGCAAGACGAACTTGTGCACAGGTATACGGCGCGCGGCAGGAGAGCGAAGACCCGCCAAGGCGAGGAAGGTTGCCGTGTGCTCGTAGAACCTCGAGGAAGGTGGCGATGGTGGTTGGTGATGGTACCAATGGTGGTGGCACAAACGAAGAAAGAGGAGGAGGTGGGGCGTGGGTCGTAGACAGTTGAAGGGCCGCGGCCAAGGTGAGGCGAGACGAAGAGATAGGGAAAGAGAGAGGAGAGGAAAGAAAGAGAGAGAAAGAGAAAGAGGGAAAGAGAGGAGAAAGAAAGAAGGCCCCGTCCGTCAGAGAGAACGCTGCTTGCTCGGGGACCCTTTGCTTTGTTCGCCTCGTCTAAGGGACCGAGAGAGGACGGAGAAGAGAGGATCGAAAGGAACGAGTCCGGGGCCTTTCGGTCGGTCTTTCTTGATCCGCCGCGCCGTGTGTTCCGTACGTACCGCGTGGAAACGTAGACCAGCGAATCCGGATTCGAATACGGACTCTCGATATCAAGCTCGGCTCGAGTGCGCACGGAGTACGCAACGATTAGACACTTCAGTTCGTTCAAATGCAATCGCGACAAAGATCCGACGAGGACTCGGGGAGATTCCGTCATGTCGTTAGAGAATAATTGCCAACGAAGTGACCGCAAAATATATTCTTTCTGTCTGTCAAAGAGGGCTCGTTTATTCATGACTGATGCGCATATGAAACACACGGTTGGTACCCGGCTGTGAGTACAATCATAAACGAATGCTATTCGATGGAGTCGTGTCTCTCCATTCCCACGATACATCACGCGTTCGAATGACGTTGCTAAAATCCGCAGCAGCAACGGCAACAGCAACGGCAGCGGCGCGGCGGCGGCGGCAGCAGCAGCAACAGCAGCAGCAGCAGCGGCTCCCCAAAGGGAGCTACAGGATCAATAGTTACAGGCTTCCACGCGCCTCATGGCTGCATTATAGACGCTCCGTGTAACTCGAGTGCACAGGGCGTCGAATATATAGGCTGCGTCGACGTTTCTAAATTTGTCCTTGCTAAACCCTATATCGTATCCTGTTCTTTTCCTTTTGATAATCCTCTTATATACATTATTTCAGAACTGCTCATGTATCGAGACAGTTTATTGAAAATTATTTTAACAACATAGACGCTTGAGAAAATTTTTCGAAAATCTAATTCTTATTGCTACTGTACTTCTTGGAAAGGTCAAAGTAACATGTTTCGACGAAGAAAAGACAGAGACATTCGTGGGCCATCTGCTCGTCTTTGCTTTAATTACGCCCACCGAATATCCCAACGGAGAGACACTTCTCCTTAGAGATCTACTTGAGACTTCAACCAGGAATTCTCGAAAAATTATAATGGAAAAATGAAATCTTTACGCAAACTTTGAGCACTGAGATATTCAATATTTTAAAATTATATCAAAATTATATATGAGAAAAAGATATCGTATATATTTTCAGTTTTATTTTAAAAATTCTACTTGTATTTTTTCCCCTTTTATTAGAAAACGATATTTTAAAACTGGATGACTGTGAAGAATCGACCTCTATATTTGATCTCTCTTGAGAAAAATTCGTACCAACAGGAAATTCTTTAGAAACACCCGCTTTTCACCCGTGCCGGCCGTCGAACTGCATCGAGAAGCTACAAAGTTAACATCTCGAATGCGTGGCTTCCTCTCTCTCGGTCGTTCGGCGACAGCGGAGTTTGTTTAGGGCCCGATGGACTCTTAAGTAGCGGTACCCTTTGGCATCGTGGATGCGCCCGTAGGTCCCCGGCACACGGAGCTGGCGGGTTTCTCAGGCAGGTCAGTGAAACTGCGCCGTCAAGTTGAAGGCCAACACCCCCACAATGCAACGGCCGAGCACCACCGCCGCTCCTCTCCCC